TGACCCACTTTTTGTTTAACTGACCTTGATTTTTGCCTGTCCCTTCTTGTACCTTTGCTGACTGATTTTGGATCTGTGTTTTGACTTTTTGCCTGCTTTTTGACGACGATTTCTGCTTACTCCCTTGGTTTTGTCTGCCTCTTGTTATGATCACTTCGGTGATATTTTGCTGCCTTTTGGTTACGACCCACGCTTGTTTTTTTGACCACGCTTTTGTCGAACGTTAATAAAACCCTGTTTGCATTTTTCATCCGCGAGCGTCTGAATTCTGTTGCATCGTCACACAGATATTCTGAACTCTGCTTGGAGTCTTTAATGATAATATCTGAGCATGTTAGCTAGTAAAATTTAATTAAATTTAAAATTAATTTAAAATTAAATTTGTATACAATGTGTGTATGCATAATTACAGCTCTGTAGAATCAAGACTTTTAAACACATACAGTGTTGAAAATCAAATTAATCTTGATGATTGAATAAGCACTAAATTCTTAATCATGACCAACATTATAAAAAGACTCATCAGTATCATCTCATCTCTCTTTTCACTGTACACACTGTCCACGTACAGCAGTATCCAAATATGAGAGTAATTCTCTTTTTTATTGTTAAGGTTTGCTTAGAAACAAAAGGTTAAAATCTTAAAATAGAAAATTACAGTTCATCACACAGCATTTTACCATCACTGCATTAAACTAAACCCAGAACCAGACCACAAAAACCCATAATAGATCACACATAGCTTGAAATGTACATAGAGGAACCTGTTAGTGGACCCTGGGGCTACTGGTGGTCATGGACCCCATAAGCCTGTTTAAATTCCATGAAATCAGAATCACAACACCAGACAACATAGCATTGTAAAACCTAAGACCTTTGTTTTTAATGAAGGTGGTCACACCACCATGAGAATTCTCAGCTATTCATCACCCCACTATTATTGCATTAACATAAACCACCAACCAGACCACTGAAAGCCATAGTCGATTATATGAGGCTTGAAATTTACACCAAGAATGCAGTGAATCTAAAGTGTTAATCATCTATATAGCCTCAGCTAACATTACTAGCCTGGCCTGTAGTGTATCATTTGATCTTCTTATAACATGAGGGGCAAATGATTCATTTGTAAGAACATCACGTCAAGGTCTTGTACATATTAGACAGTTATCAATCAGTCAGTTCTCACAGTCAGTGCTCTGGATATGGGAGAAACAGGCAGATGTGAAAACCTGAGTGACTTTAACAAGGAACAGATAATTACGAGATATACTTTAGGCATAAATCATCTATGAATAATTAATTAATCATGTGAACAGATATTAATCAAATTAAAAAATAATCAAATTAAAAAAATTAGACTGAAAGAGTGTGTTGTGTTTGTAAACTCTTATCTTGTCAAAATGCTGTTTTATGTTACATGTAGACTAATTTAAAGACCTATAAAACAGCAAACTAAAGAGCTCAAAGTCAGGAGCTCAGCTCTCCACATTTACAGCATTTATCATTTTTAAATTTACAGAATTAATTAATTAGTTAATTATTTAGCAGAGGACAGAAAACCTCACACACAAAGACACAAAACTCACTGATCATACATATTTATAGTCTATGAGTAAAATGTTTGTGCACTTTATCTGCCAAACTTAGTCTCAGTGGCCTGAGAACAGAGAGGAGTTAGAGATGTGTTTGTGGTCTGACTTTTATTCTAGTAAAACAGCAGTAATGACAACATCAACTAAATAAAAACTGAAACCTAATGATGTTTTTAAGTCACACTTATTGCATCTTTTATGTAAAGCTATAAAGTCATATTTACTACTAGATACTACTGATCGTTAACTATCAGGCTCTTGTCATGTCTTTCCCTTCAGTTTAAGCAGACCTGTAATGCTGGGTCTCTCTGCTTTGGTGTCTTTGCCCCAGAGAGGTGGACTGAACTTTCCCCTGGACTCTGCACTGCAGTCAGTTCTCACGCTCAGTTCTTTCCTTTGTGGTCTGAAGACTCATATCTTCAGATATTATCTACTTCACACCTTTCTGCTCTCATTCGCACTTCATTTTTTTACAGATGTGTCAGTTACCCACTAATACCTCCCCATCATGACAGACACTGATGATTGAACACTAGTAACTGCAATCCTTTTTTTCTTTGACCCCAAGGACACAACGTTCATTATTTCCATGAATAATCTAGAGGTTTGACTTGTCAGACCACAATACACGTTTCCTCTGTGCATCAGTCCATTTCAGATGAACTTGATCCCAGGGAATTCTGCAGCCTTTTGGATGTTGTAGAGAAATGACTTCCACTGTGCACAGTACAGTCTAAACTTGCATTAGTGGATGCAGCAACAGACGGTGCTCATTAAAATCAGTTTGTCAAAGTATTTCCGAGCCCATGAGGTGATCTCCATCACAGAAGCATGCCAGTTTATAATGCAGTGCCATCTGAGGACGGGGGCATCTACGTGTGGGCTGAAGAGAAATTATCTGCCATCCAACATATTGGAACATATTGCAGACATCAATTTCAGAATGTTTAAAAAACAACTTGATAAAGTAGAACATTACATCTTTTCTCTGTACTGTTTTCATTCAAATACAGGCCAAAGTAGATTTAAAATCACTGCCTTCTGTTTTATTTGTATATTTTAATACTGTCCCAGCTTTTTTGGACTTGGCTTTGTAGGATTCATGCTGAACACAAAAACATTAAGGCAGAACACAAGATCTCTCTCTCTCTCTCTCTCTCTCTCTCTCTCTCTCTCTCTCTCTCCCTCTCCCTGTCTCATGTGCTTTGTCTATGAGTGAAAAGGAAATGTTTAGTTCATTGTTCAGTCAGTCATTACTGGGGCAGTATGGAGCTCAGTTTGCTGTCTCTGATGCTCTGTGAGTAAAGATTCTCTTTATATTGCTGTTGATTATTTGTATCTAAATATGTATTATGTTGTACTGTATTTGTACTGTAATTGTTTTGTATAGCTTTGTTCCACATTTCATAGTGTAATTTACATTCTGGGCTAAAAGAATAAGACACTCATTCCAGTTAAAAAAAAAAATCCACACATTTAAAGAAGGTGTTTGTGTCTCTTTCCACGAAAGTAAAATTGTTTTCTGAGCTACTAGTGCAGGACAGAAAATCAATTTAGCCGATACTTTACATACAAGCGTGTCACTATAACCCATTAGTCTTGAAGATAGTGGTATGTTAACATTAGTAAAAATTATTAACATTTGTGATTAGTATATATTATCATTATTAATACTCATCCAGTAACGTTTTACATACAAATGGATAAGTGGCTCTTGTTCTTTCTAACATAGAATTGAAAGATTAAACCCATAAGCCTGTCATGTTTGTGAAGTATAGTGTGTTGTGTGTAATATTCTCATTCGAGCAGATCCATGATGGCAGATCAGAATGATTTAAATTAATAATAAAAATGGATGTTTGTTGTTTGGTTTATATTCAGTTGACTTCAGGTGGTGATTCTGAATAAGTTTTAGAGAAGAAGGAACAGAAAATAACCTCACCGTCATTTATTCTGACAGTTACAACGCAAAGTTGGAATAAGATTATAATATAATAATAAATAATGTTTTAGGCTATATATTGTAGCATTTTAAATTTGACAAAATATATTATAAAATATAATATTATTTATTCATATATATATATATATAATATATATATATATATATATATATATATATATATATAATGGATAACAAAAAAAAATTAATCTGGTCTTGGACTTGACTGCTACAAAGTCTTGGTCTTGACTTAGACTCTATTTGTTTAGGTCTTAATCTTGACTCGGACTCGTCTCTAGTGGTCTTGACTTGGCATACAAACAGGCCAGTAATAGGTTGTTTCTAAAGATTGTCAAAGATTTAATGTGCCTGTGTTAATTTCCCCATTTATAACTATACATGGATAACTGTTACTGTATGTTCTAGTCCTAGTTTAAGGCTTGTACATTTTAAAGTCATCATGACTGGACCTGGTCCAATTTATTCCATATTCTTGAGTGTAAAGGACAGTTCAGGAAATTATTTATTGGCAAATTATTTGAGTTACATGGTTTACGGCAAACCAGTTCATCAAACCATTTCACTTCACTCACCAGTTTTACAGTGTAGTGAAAATTTCACATTAATGCATCATGTACATCTGTTTTCTCCTACTTTAGTGCTGATTGTGGTCATCAACTCTGAACAAACTCAAGGTAAATCATTACATGATCATCTACTACATTATTTAATTTGTTTTCATGTACATTAGCATATAATTCCATTCTTTTAATAGATGACTTTGACAAGTGGCTTAAATTAGTAAAATCATAAATGATAACACATTCATTGTACACAAGAGAGCAGTGCATTGATTAATTAATGTGGTCTTGTCAATGTGTATTTAATAATACAGATTATAGATGCATTTAATTGAAAGAAACATAATACATAATACAAGTAAAATCTGGCTTCACAGAAACATTCATAGAAAACAGACACATTAAACTCATTAGGCTCATTGTGTTTAAGATGACTAAACTAATTCTTATATTGACAAAAGCAGCTCTGCTCACTTCATCTTTTCACACCAACAGCACGAACTACACTGAAAGTGAAGCCTCAGAGCTCAGTCTATACTGGAGACACAGTTACTCTGAGCTGTGTGCCGCCGCAGAGTACTGGTTGGGAGATTATCTGGTGGAAAGACTCTCAGAATTTAAAACATTTAGAAAATCTGAACAAAATCAGTGTTACAGTGTCTGATCCAGGAGAAGCAGAGTACCAGTGTGTAGCACTAAAAAAAGACATAGTGTTAATAGAACACAGTGATCCAGTCAAGATTACAGTGAGAGGTATGACATGTTTTCTGTTTTCTTTTATAAATAATTTGATTTTAGACTGACTGAGGAAAAAAATGTTCCACAGTATTCCATGATGCTTTTGAATAATTTCATTTCAAAATATTTCTCATCTTTAAACAGAGAGACCAAAAGCTACAGTGAAAGTCCAGCCAGCTGATCATGTGTTCATCAGAGAGAGAGTCACTCTGACATGTGAAATAGAAAGTGGAGATGGCTGGTATTACAAATGGTATAAGAATAATAATCTTCTCAGAGATGCTCAAAGGAAGGAATATGAAATCTCTAATGTTGATCAGTCTCATGCAGGTGTTTATACCTGTAAGGGAACACAGTCAACAGACCGAATATACACACACACCAGTGAAGCTGTTACACTGACTGTATCAGGTGAGTGTGGCGACTTTCTCACTTTATTTCTATCAGTAAGTGTCAAGGTGCAGTTTTAGTCAGTACATACAGGAACACAGGGAGGTATTTAAAGTTGAGGTGCTGAAATTTTAAGCAGCGTATTTTTGACGTGAACGATGATGTCATGCAAAATGTTATGCTTTTTCTATTTGAATTCAGTTGATAATTTACATGAAACAGAATGTGTCACATTATGCTGTAATGAGGTAATGATGTAATGTAAAGATGACAACAAACACAATTAATTTACATATCAAGTCACTAATGTGCTCCCTGCACTCTCTGCTCTCTCATTCTGGATTAATTTTATGCTAATGAACTGAGCAGTGACCAACCAGATTGTTGGCCCTTGGCACCCGTAGTACCCCCACTTTCCGTGTCCCTGAGTACATATGTGTCAAAAAGAATTAAACTTCTTCCTGCAGAAATGCCGAAAGCTACAGTGAAAGTCCAGCCAGCTGATCATGTGTTCATCAGAGAGAGAGTCACTCTGACATGTGAAATAGAAAGTGGAGATGGCTGGTATTACAAATGGTATAAGAATAATAATCTTCTCAGAGATGCTCAAAGGAAGGAATATGAAATCTCTAATGTTGATCAGTCTCATGCAGGTGTTTAAACCTGTAAGGGAACACAGTCAACAGGCCGAATATACACACACACCAGTGAAGCTGTTACACTGACTGTATCAGGTGAGTGTGGCATCTTTCTCACTATATTTCTATCATTATGTGTACAGAGGTTCATTACAAATATAAAAACATCACTCAGTATTATACATATCAGCACATTTCTCTTTAAAACACAGAATCTTAGTAGCTGTAAAGAGTTCAGGCATAAGAAAAAGGAAGTTATGGTCAGTTTAATAATGAGAATTCATCATATGTCAGGACATATGTATTTGTTTACAAGCAGATCTTGACCACTCTAACATGGCAGATGCACAGACGTATCACCTCAGACAAAGAACAACAGACAATGCGGCATCTCTGTATCTATGCATTTATGCCCTGAACCCCTTTGCTGTCCCCTTCAGGAACTGCTTTTGAGAATTTTTTCTGTTTATTGTCCCCCCAACAGTGAAATGAAATACCCGCCCATGTTTACAGCTTCCAGTCTTTTCAGGAGTTCAGTCTCAGGCCTCGTCCACATGTATACAGATATTTTTGAAAACATCATTTTTTCCAAAAAGAGATGAATAAATGAATCGTGAAGGCACATGTACCCAAAACCAAACACAGCAGCTCCTGCTGGTCATCCTGATGCAGGATGACCAGCATTCACCTCAATGGCGCTATAACTATTTATATTTATATACTATCATGCAATTTTACATCTGGGGTTAAAAGATGAAAAAAACAACTATGCAGAACCGGCTGCTGCGAGCTGGTCAAACATTAGTAAATCAAGCAGAATATCAGCCACACTCCTAAAATCTCCAGATGCATATGCAGGAGGGAGAGAAGAACATCCTGTGTTTTTCCATGTGCACTTCACAGAAACTGTGTTTAGGCTCCTGTGCCAGTTTTGTAAATAACACGTGATCAGAATGCATCCAAACTGCATCTGATTCCAGCACAAAAGGCTTAATATATTCAGCCCTCAGTATCTCTCAATGAGTTCATGTAGCTCATCTCATAAACATTGACAACAGCAGCTGATGGCTGCTGTTGTGTGTGAAACATTTGTTAGAGTTTGTCCACAGCCAGAAAGTGGAAAACGCAGAAGAGTAGTGGAATGAAAAAAAAAGTGCTTTTTGCTGTTTTTGTCTACTATCTGTGGTGTAACCCGACCAAAACTATATATCATGACTGTGTCAACCAGCACCAGCGTCTACCATCGCCGGAGCCTGCTATAGCTGAGAAATCAGCCTCAATCTCAATCTCTACTTTCAAACGAACTGCGGGAAGAGCTGCGCGAGCTAGGCCTGCTAAGATCCACGGTGCTGCGTGAGCCTGCTGGCCGAAAGCGATGCGCGTGAAGGCGAAGCGAGGCAAGCGAGGCGGGGTGCGCGCTAGGCTAATGGCTAACCCCAGACGACCAACCGTTCCATCGCTTCTTCTATCAAATGTTTGTTCCTTGGAGAATAAACTGGACTACTTCCGGATTCAGCGGGCTACCCAGCTTGAGTTCAGAGACTGCTGTGTTTTCGTTTTTACTGAGACATGGATGACAAGCTCAACTCCAGACTTAACCGTTCAGCTCGACGGCCTGTTGTGCTTCTGTGCGGACAGAGACGCTGAGCTGTGCGGTAAGACTCGAGGTGGGGGACTGTGTGTTTACATCAACACTGAATGGTGTAAAAACGCGGCGCTAGTCTCTAGTCACTGCTCACCGCTGGTGGAGTTTGCGATTGTCAGAGCCAGGCCATTTTATTTGCCAAGAGAGCTAAATATGCTGTTCATAATAGCGGCGTACATAGCTCCCAGTGCTAATGCTAACGCCGCACTGAACGAGCTGTACAGCGCTATCAGCGATCTGCAAAACACACATCCAGACGGACTGTTTATTGTTGCTTGAGATTTCAACCATGCAAATTTGAAGTCAGTACTCCCCAAATTTCACCCATATGTGGACTTTGCAACCCGGGGGGCTAACGTGCTGGATCTTGTTTACACAAACATACTTGGCGCGTACAGGGCTGAGCCCCGCCCCCCACTACGGCTACTCAGACCGCATCTCTGTGATGCTCATTCCAACATACAGACCGCTCATCAGACGTGCCAAACCAGACCAGAAGCAAGTGAGAACCTGGCCGCCAGGAGGTATCTCTGCTCTTTAGGACTGTTTTGAGCACACTGACTGGGAGATGTTCAGAGAAGCAGCAACCTCCGGTGACTCCATCAACCTGGAGGAATATATAGAATCAGTGACTGGCTACATCAGCAAGTGCATTGATGATGTTACTGTCTCCAAACTCATCACAACACACCCCAACCAGAAACCATGGATGACTGCCGAGGTGCGCATGCTACTGAGAACCCGTGACAAGGCTTTCAAGTCAAGGGACAGAGCAAGCCTCAGGATAGCAAGAGCCAAGCTTTCCCGGGCCGTCAAAGAAGCTAAGCGTGCCTACTCAAAGAAAATCCATGAGCCATCACCAATTACAAGTCACCTCCACCTGCTTGTGACAGTGATGCCTCCATTCCAGACGCGCTAAACAACTTCTATGCTCGATTTGAAGCACAGAACTGCACGACGGTGAGGAAAACCACACCTCCTCCAAATGAACAGGTACTGTGTCTGTCCACAGCTGATGTGCGGAGAACTCTACTCAGAGTCAACCCACGGAAAGCACCAGGATCCGACAGCATACCGGGCAGAGTGCTCAGAGAATGCGCCGAACAGCTGGCTGATGTTCTCACGGACACATTCAACATCTCTCTGAGCACTGCAGTCGTTCCAACGTGCAGCAAGTCCACCACCATCATCCCTGTGCCGAAGAAATCTCCAGTGTCCTGCCTCAACGACTACCGTCCCATTGCATTCACTCCCATCATTATGAAGTGCTTCGAGAGGCTTGTCATGAGGCACATTAAAGACCAGCTTCCTCCTTCACTGGACCTACTGCAATTTGCATATCGCCCCAACTGCTCAACAGATGATGCCATCTCCACCACACTCCACCTGGCTCTCACCCACTTGGACAATAAAGACACTTATGTCAGAATGCTGTTCATAGACTTCAGTTCAGCATTCAACACCATCATCCCTCAGCAGCTGATTGGAAAACTGAGCCTGCTGGGCCTGAATGTCTCCCTCTGTAACTGGGTCCTGGATTTCCTGACTGAGAGACCTCAGTTAGTCTGGATAGGTATAACATCTCCAGCACCACCATACTGAGCAACGGCGCCCCTCAGGGCTGTGTGCTCAGTCCGCTGCTGTTTACCTTGCTGACTCATGACTGTGCTGCAAAGTACAGCTCAAATCACATCATCAAGTTTGCTGATGACATGACTGTGGTGGGTCTGATCAACAAGAATGATGAGGACTGGTGCGGAACCAACAACCTGTCTCTGAATGTAGTTAAAACTAAGGAGATGGTTGTTGACTTCCGAAGAATGCGGGGTGACCACGCCCCACTGACCATCACTGGCTCTGCTGTGGAAATCGTCCAGAGCACCAAGTTCCTCTGCGTCCACATCTCAGAGAACCTCACCTGGTCCCTCAACACCAACTCCATAGCCAAGAGAGCCCAGCAGCGCCTCTACTTTCTACGGAGACTGAAGAAAGTTCATCTCCCCCCTCCCATCCTCAACATGTTCTACAGGGGGACTGTGGAGAGCATTCTGATCAGCTGCATCATCGCCTGGTTTGGGAATTGCACCGCCTCCAACCGCAAGACCCTACAGCGCATAGTAGGAAGGCTGAGAAGATCATTGGGGTCTCCCTCCTCTCCATCAGTGTCATCTACACCACACGCTGCATCCGCAAAGCCACCAGCATCGTGGACGACCCCATCCATCCCTCACACAGACTTTTTTCACTGCTGCCGTCTGGCAGAAGGTACCGGAGCATCCGTGCCATCACTGCCAGACTCTGCAGCAGCTTTGTCCCTCAAGCAATCAGGTTTTTAAACTCACAAGGACTGAACTAACCCCCCCTCCCCCACACACACACACACACTCATACACACCTCTTTTGATGCTCTACTTGCAGTATCTATCTGGAACATTGCTGCCAATACTGTGTTTACACTGTTTTCTACCTCAGTAACTGTTTTACTACCTTAGTAATTGTAATTGTTTTACTACCCCAGTAACTGCTGTGTATATGTATGTTATCTGATGTAACTTACAGATCACATCACGTTAAATATGTCTGCACCTTATTCCACTACCTCATGTCCAGAAATCTGTGCTGTGTCGGTGCTACACTGTCCGGTCTGTTTACTGTGTCTAATGTCTGTTTAATTTATTGCACTTATTGTATTGTTTTCTAGCTTAAATTTTGTTTGCATACTGTCTGCACGTTTGCACTTTGTAATTTTGAACTTTTTGTACTTTTTGTTCCTTGTTGCACCTTGTTCCTGGAGGAACGTAATTTCGCTCCACTGTGTACTTGTACATAGATGGACTGACAATAAAAGCCTCTTGACTTGACTTGATCAAAATATAACACATCTGGAATAAAATCCTTTATGTAAATTTATAGAGAGTGAATGTTGTTGAATACTGTCATGCATGTTCAGAGAGAGTGTATAAGTTTTTAAAAATATTTGTCATCTTTGAACAGAGAGACCAAGAGCTACAGTGAAAGTCCAGCCAGCTGATCTTGTGTTCATCAGAGAGAGAGTCACTCTGACATGTGAAATAGAAAGTGGAGATTACTGGAATTATGAATGGTATAAGAATAATAATCTTCTCAGAGATGCTCAAAGGAAGAAATATGAAATCTCTAATGTTGATCAGTCTCATGCAGGTGTTTATACCTGTAAGGGAACACAGTCAACAGGCCGAATATACACACACACCAGTGAAGCTGTTACACTGACTGTATCAGGTGAGTGTGGCGTCTTTCTCACTTTATTTCTATCATTAAAGCTGCACAGTGTAAGGTTTTTATTGAAGTAGCAGGAAAAAAGCACTAAAATATGGTGGTTGTGTGCTGCTGTGAGTCACCCCTGAAACGATTTCTAAGTCTGAGGGGTCAGGTAGGATTTTGCCCTTTTTTTTTGGCCTTTATTAATGTCTTATGGTTCAAAAAAAGGTCCAGTTCAATGTTTAGGTGTCAAATGCAAAAGTAACAGCATACTGATGAAGACATGATGACAATAACAGATCAATCATTTACATCCTTGGAAGACATGTCCTTCACCAAGTTTTGACAGAATTTTCTTTCAATGAGAATACATTCAACAAATTCCTCCACTCAGAGGAGCTAAAGCACAACTGATGTTACAAAATATTCTTCCACCAATTTTGTGCAATTATACGTTTCAACCAGAGAGGTCTCCAAATCCCCAAAGCTTTTATAGTGTAGCTTTAACAGTTAAACATGCAGAGGTGCATTACTGCTATGAAAATATCCTCCAGCTGTGTAAAATTAAGAAGAAACAGAGGGAAATCAGCAATTTTCTCATTAAAATTTATCTTAGAAGTCTAAATAGGTTCATGTAGCTGAACTCATAAGCAATGGCAACATCAGCTGATGACAATAGTTGGCTTTTATCTGAAACATTGGAGTTTATCCACAGCCAGAAAGTAGAATTTGCAGAAGAGCAGTAGTGATCAACTTAAAAACAAATCTAGAATAAAATTCTTTCTGTAAACTAATAGACTGTTAATGTTTTTGAATACTGTCATGCATATTCAGAGAGAGTGTGTAAGTTTTACAAGTATTTATCTTCTTTGAACAGAGAGACCAAAAGCTACAGTGAAAGTCCAGCCAGCTGATCATGTGTTCATCAGAGAGAGAGTCACTCTGACATGTGAAATAGAAAGTGGAGATTACTGGAATTATGAATGGTATAAGAATAATAATCTTCTCAGAGATGCTCAAAGGAAGAAATATGAAATCTCTAATGTTGATCAGTCTCATGCAGGTGTTTATACCTGTAAGGGAACACAGTCAACAGACCGAATATACACACACACCAGTGAAGCTGTTACACTGACTGTATCAGGTGAGTGTGGCGTCTTTCTCACTCTATGTCTATCATCAAGAGTGTAAAGTTTAGAGCTGCACTACTACTGTAAAACCATCATCCTGTACGAAACATATCAGCAAATCTCTCTTTCTAAATATATTTCTGAACCCTCAATGAGTTCATGTACAGTACTGTGCAAAAGTCAGAGATCACCCTTCATTATTTCACTTCATGTGAAAACAGATTTCAAGTAGGCCTACAAGTTATTCATTTTTCTGCATCTCCAAATTACCAAAGTTCAGTCTTGTGTCCACATGTACAAACAAAGTTTTTTCCTCTGCTTGTCCATAAAAATCTCGTCCACACCATCATGAGAATGCAAGAATGACTCACCAATAATCATATGATCATGACAGCCCAGTAGAGGCTGATAACTTCTCATAAGATCTAATGTTCTGTACTTCAAGAAGAACATTGTAAATATCTGCACTGTGCAAAATGTAGACCACAACACGAAGCTAAAGCAGAGATTTTCTAACAAAGTTATGGGCATGTTACAAACACATTGAAATACATTTTTAAAAATATAATTATAATAATACACTGTAAAAAATTACTTCATATGGTAACAAGTAAATAACTAGTATTATTCAACCTAAAGAAATACTTTAAATGAAAGTTTTTTTGAATCAGTGTAATTTTTTGACTTGAATAAAAGTGATTCATTTGCTTGTTACTGCATGAAGTCATTTCTTTAGGTTGACCTGATGGGCTATTTTTACAGTGTAATAATAATAATAATAATAATAATAATAATCATCATCATCATCATCATCATCATCCTCATCACCATAATGATGAACTGACAGACATTCAGTTTTACAAATGAAACACTTCATGCTTGGACCTGTAGATGCTTCACTGAATGAACCCACAGTGTCAATTTGTCAGCATTAAATATCTTCATTTAAAGTTAAATATTTTCACTTGTGTTGTTTTGGTACCCAGTTAAAATGTCTTCTTAGCCCAGTTTCATATTAGCAATAAATAAACAATTAAACTAAAAAGTATTTAAGAAGCAGTTTAGAAGTTGAAATGCAAAAAATAAATCAGTATTAATAATTATGTAATTATTTGGAGTACAGCTGTGAAATTTTATTAAAAAAAAAGTGTTTTTCTTGGCATGAGCTGCCCTCAGTGAGCTGACATGGCTGAACCCTCAGACTGCATGTCATATTTAATTCCTAGAAGTCCGTGTCAGGGATACAATATCCAGGACTGGGATCTGGGTTCATGATCTGGATTTGAAGGTCTCTGGTCTAGACTGTATCTGCTCTTACAGATACATCTGATTAGACTGTGAGGCAAATTTACACCTGTTTTTAAAAGGTGGAGAAAAGTCCACTCAAACCTGGCCACTGTGAGCTGCTCAAACTTTAGTAAATATATCTGAGATCTTCACCCTCAAATGCATTTGCATGATGGAGAGAAGCACATCCTGTGTTTTTACATGTGAGCAGCCCGGAAAGTGTTTGTTTGATCTCGTTCACCAATTTAGTCCTGACGTGCGTAAAATGCATCCAAATTACTTCTGAATTCAGTGCAAAAGGCTCAGAACATTCAGCCCACAGTGTCTTAGAACTCATGTAGCTCATGCAGCTCATCTCATTAACACTGACAACATCTGCTGATGGAAACAGTTGGCTTTTGTTTGAGATGTTTGTTGGAGTTGTCCACAGCCAGAAAGTGGAAGATGCGGAAGAGGGAATAATGATCAACTGAAAAACACACCTGCAATAAAATTCTCTCTGTAAACTAATAGAAAGTGAATGTTGTGGAAGACTGTCATGCATATTCAGAGAGAGTGAATCAGTTTTAAAAGTATTTTCCATCTTTGAACAGAGAGACCAAAAGCTACAGTGAAAGTCCAGCCAGCTGATCATGTGTTCATCAGAGAGAGAGTCACTCTGACATGTGAAATAGAAAGTGGAGATTACTGGAATTATGAATGGTATAAGAATAATAATCTTCTCAGAGATGCTCAAAGGAAGAAATATGAAATCTCTAATGTTGATGAGTCTCATGCAGGTGTTTATACCTGTAAGGGAACACAGTCAACAGGCCGAATATACACACACACAAGTGAAGCTGTTACACTGACTGTATCAGGTGAGTGTGGCGTCTTTCTCATTTTATTTCTATCACTAAGAGTTTAAGGTGCTTTACTAATATAAAACATCATCCTGTACTGAACATATCAGCAAATTTCTCTTCAAATACTCTGTATCTCTGAAGCCTCACTGAGTTCTTGTACAGTACTATGCAAAACCTCAGAGACCACCCTTCATTATTTAATTTCCAGTTAAAACAGCTATAAAGTAGAACTACAAGTTAGTTATTTTTCTGCATTAAGAGCAGAAAAAATGAAATACAGAAAAGTACACTAAAACCTCACAACTTAAGATTGTGGCAAAATGTTTATTTTTATTTAGTGCTCATGCACCCTTTGCCTTTACCACAGCTTCCATTCTTTTCAAGAGTTCTCTAAAGTTCAGTCTTAGGCCTCGTCCACACGTATTCGGATATTTTGGAATTCAAAAATAATCCTCCTCCACACCAACAGTGTTTTAAAAAATCTATCAGTACATGAGAACACAAAAATGACTCAAAAACTCTCCCATGATCATGTCAGCCCAGTACAGGGTGATTACACTTCATTACGGTCCTGTAACTGAAGAAGATCACTGTAAACATGCACACTGTACAAAATAGAGCACAATATGATTTTTTAACAAAGCAACAGCAACATGTTACAAACACAGCAGACACGTCAGACCTCTGTCAGTTTCAATTTTACAGATTCAAAATCCATTTTGTTGTCACAAAAAAGGCTTTAAAAAGCAAAAAAAATCCTAACACTTACTGTTGCATGGTTTGTATATATTGTGATGATTATGCTACTGTCTCTGAAACGTCCACACATTCCTGGGTTTTCTAGCTTTTCACTTGACAATTATAGATCATTCTGAAAATCATGTATAAGAGATCTTCTCATGATCTGCACTAATTACACAGCTGCAAAAGTCTCATCTTGCTTTGTTATTGTTTCTACACCTATCACACTTTCAGCTCAGGCTGACTTGTAACATACTAAAAGTTCAGTAGTACAAAGTAAAATTTATAGTCACACTGAAGAGAAGCTCTGAAAACATTTAGGATTTTTAAAAGCAGCCCTTTCAGATAAACTAAAGCTAACAGTAAAGCTAGTCAGAGCAATGCTAGACATTGAAGAGAACTCAGCTCTTTCAGCAAACTTTAATAAAATAGTACAAAGAATGGCCTGTTTGAGTGCATTAATATTTATTTTTCTTCATCAACAGTAAAAGTCAGACCTACAATCACCTCAAACCATGAAGGAGCTGCACTGACAGGAAACACAGTGACTCTGTACTGTAACCTCCCTCAGTCTGCTGGATGGACGTTTTACTGGTCCAAACACACACAGAACTCTGAGAAGGAGACCATCACCAACGTCTACACCATCAGCTCAGTTAGTCTCTCTGATGGAGGTCAGTACTGGTGCAGAGCTGGCAGAGGAAACCCAGTCTACTACACACACTACAGTGCTGCACTCTGGGTAAACGTTACTGGTGAGTGATATTTCACGGTACAGTGCTGAATGTTAACAGCATACATAGGAACAAACTATTTATTTTATGATTACATGCATTTAAAGGCATCATAAATCTGAGGGTCCTTTTATGTACTGGGGAGAGCGGAGCACAACACATTTTGTTTTTTGTGAAATAATTTTCAAGATATTTAAGTTTAATAATCTTGTTTTTATTCAAACTACATATACACCTCTGCTACACATAAACATTTTGTTTCTAACTCCTACCATTCATGTAAAATTCCACCCAAAAAGACAGGAAGTGCAATATTACAATTTCCCCCTTGGGAGAGGTTAATTGTGACAGAAGGCTTGTTGTAATACTGTCTAAAAAGTCTGATGGATCAGTACAAACAAAGTTAATTCAATATAATCATAAGTTGTAAGAAACAAATATATTTTCCAACCATAAAGGATTATACATTATTTTTCTATAAGACAAATATATTTCTATAAGCTCATTTCATAGATACACACACATCAAATTATGTATGAAACCTCACTCTGGCCCAGCCTCTCCCTGGCAGATGGCACTTGACCACGCCCCCATATCTATTTAAAACCACAATAACATCTGAAAGATACTAATAAAGTACAACAAAATCTGAAAACAGAGAAGTTTTCTCTTTTTCATTTTAAAGTATGGGTAAAAATGTGGAACAAAGAGACAAAATTTACTTCATTTGTCTTTATTTACCAACAGTGGCTTAGCTGTAACACAGATCAAGCAAAGGTACTGAAGTCAAGCAATGCTGTCTCCTCTCTTTTAGTCAAACTGGAAGATCCTAAACACATTATTCAAACACAGATAATAGATCAGTTAAGTTTCATGGTGACAAATATTTTATTTTCTCACTTAAGTTCTATTAAATTCAGTATGAGTTTTAATTGAAACCTTAAAGAACTCTCCCTCACTTTCTTCTAAATCACTTACCTCTATCAAATCTGCTGCTTCAGTCCTTTCAGTCTCCTTCAGCTTCTTTCTCTCCATCTCCTTACCTGTGTTTAGTAATATGTCATTTTGGAATCATTTAAATTTACAGGAACTCAAGGAAATAATAAGAGATCAAAGAATGTTTTTTTTTTTTTAAATTGGTAAAGCTCTTCTTCTCTTTCAATGGAGATGCCACCTCTTAATTTGCATCAACAGTTTGAGGATTTGAGGATGTAAATTTGCATGATGATCAACACTATATGACATTTTCACTGATGATCATTTACTGTAAACAACAACAAAATCTGAAAACAGAGTGAATACTGATATCACTGTTTCTAAATACTGAAGAGAAATAAAAAAACAATGAATCAAAAGAGCTGAGAATAACATTATTTCTGTCTCTGTCACTCATTCCTCTCACACTCTCACTATGAAGTATCTTCAAATAGTTGTCAGCTAGCTAGCTGATGTTAGTGTTAGCCTAGCCCCTTTTCTTTGCATCACGTAAACCCAGTTAAGTAGCTAACAAGAAACTGAGTAAAAACCAGACAGCCAGCTATACTGACCATAATTGACCACAAAATCCATACTGTAGGTGAGCATCTTCACTCTGTAACTCCTTTCACTCTGTATATTGTAGATTTTGAATAAGGTCTAATGTTTATTTTAGTGAGCTTTTAGGCAAAATCCTGCCTTCAGCTTCAGTGGTTGCTGTCTGACGTTACTTAGCACAGTGAACAAAACCGGAGACCCTCACCCAGCTCTCATATAATTGGCTTACAACTTACAAAGTCTGACATGATTGACTTACAACCTAAGAGGTCTGATGTGATTGGCCAAGCGGGGGTTCCATTTTTCACATTATGTTAGTAAATCTCTGGTAGCTCAGCACAGGCAGCACTGCATTAGAGCAGCAGCGCCTCCTCAGGTCACACCCTGCTATCACAGTATGTTGTGAATATGGAGGTGAGATGACACAGTTGTATAATGAAAAATGTGTAAGAGGAAGCTATAGTTGATTCTGAACCAGTAATGTACATACATTTGAAAAGGAGGGGCAAAATAACTTTTGGGGGGGCTAAAGCTAAAAAAAAAAACTGCCTACTGATGTTTTTGACCCTCAGAAAAATATTTGATTGGTAAGAAATCACTTGTACAGCAAGAAAACAACTCCAAACACCCTGGTGAGAAAATGAACAATTGCTTATCAAACAAAAATGCTTCTAGTGTTCTTAGAAAAATTGACTGAACACCACCGACCTCAACATCACTGACTCTGTTTAGAATTATTTGGATTGTGAGAAGCAGAAAATGAAACTTTGCAAGTATGGACGTGTTTTCTTCTGTTGAAAAATTGTTTTCTGTTTTTTTTTTTCCTGATGCTGAAAAATGAATAACATATTAAATAAATGAAAGATAGTCTGCAGAGAACTGCGCAAGATTGATAATTTAATCTTAGATCTTTGGCTCTCATTGTAATAACAGTGTTGGGAACTGTCATTTTCTTACAGACAGTACTAAAGCTGTGGTGTCCATAAAGCCTGATAAACAGGTGTTTAAAGGAGAGGCGGTCACTCTGAGATGTGACATACAGGCAGGAGGAGACACTGAGTGGACTTACAGCTGGTATAAAGATGACCGTTTGTCCTCAAACAGAAGAACACAGGAGTTCACAATCAGCTCAGAGTCTAACGGTGGTAAATACACCTGCAGAGGAGAAAGAAAACATGACTCTCAGAGCTCAGAGATCAGTGATGCTGTTACACTGACTGTGTCTGGTGAGTCTGTGGATTTGTTTTAATATTCTCATTAATTATACTGTATGTAATGATCTTATCACTGTGTATAAACTTGATTTAGTCTATTATATTCTCCATGTTCTCTCTGTCAGATGTAGCTCAGGCAGTATTGGGTGTGTCTCCACAGAGCTGGCTGACTGAAGGAGACTCAGTGACTCTAAGCTGTGAGGTTACAGGCTCCTCTACAGGCTGGACATTCAGCTGGTACAGAGCTGTTCTCTACAGACAAGGCTTACAACAAATAAGAGACGTTCATGGCAATGTTCTGTATCATGTAGAGCTCCTGTCAGACAGCAGAAGAGAAGCTGGAGGCTCCTACATTCTCAGTCCTGCTGCTCTAAATCACACAGGAGTTTATGTGTGCAGAGCAGAGAGAGGAGAACCAGCCTATCAGACACAGTACAGCACTCCACAGACACTATGGATCACTGGTGAGGAAATACAGAGATGAATTAGTTTGTTTATATATATATGTTGTATTCATCAAAACCATTCTTTTAGTGAACAGTATCTTTGTTTAGCATTAGTATTGATCAACATGCTACATGTGTATCTTGTGTGCATGTTCAGGTTCATCTCCTCCAGTCTCTCTGATCATCAGTCCCAGCAGAACTCAACACTTTAGTGCTGGCTCTCTCTCACTGAGCTGTGAGGGACAGAGTGACTCTACTGGATGGAGAGTGAGACGATACACACACAGTGGGGAGGTGTCAGATTGTTCATCAGTTACAGGATCTACATGCAACATCAGCTCCCTCTACACATCCCTCACTGGAGTTTACTGGTGTCAGTCTGAATCTGGAGGAGGAAGTGATCCTCTCAACATCACAGTGCACAGTGAGTCTCTGTTACTCTCTAACAGTGATGCTGAAATAAAGATAGAAAAGCTGAAAATTAAATTATTTCATTCATTTAGATTATATTCTAGTAAAAAAGATCTATGAAAACTCAATGAACTATTTGCATAAAGGCTTATTTGCATGATTAAATGCTTCTTCTCTATGATGAAAAAACCTGTTGAAATGATTCTGTATAGAACCAAATCTAGTAACTTTTTAGGCTCACTATAGAACAATTTTTGTTAAGATTTTGTTTCCCCTCTTGATTAGTCTTAGTGTTCTTGGTGAAATTGATCTTGGTGATATAGATATTTATTTATCTGTTGTTTGCATTTTGGTGAATTATAGTTAAAACTGTATATATTTCTTTAAATTGAAATCTTGTTTTTATGTAAGCTACTGAATGTTTTGCTCACTGCTGAGTAATTTACCACAGCTAGACTTAAGATCAGAAATTTAGAAATGTATCAAAAGCACCCATTCAGAATTTCTGTGATATGATAGAGCTCAGACAGTAAAAACAAACAAACAAATAAATAAACAAACAAAAAAATTAAAAGATCAAAAATCTAAATTTAAATAGAACAGATTCATCATTAATATCTTTATCATTGTTACATAGCAAAACTATTATAATGGAAACATGGATTCATTCCCAATGAACTAAACACAATGTCACTGGTAAATTTTAAACAGCTGTGATGATGTCCATTCATAGACGTCACAATCCACGCAGGAAAAGTCTGTATTCATTCCCTCTTCACCACACTGTCTCTAATATTTACTAAAGATTGATAAATACTGATGGAGGTCTCTGCATTCAGATCATTACTGAGTTCTCCACACTTTCTGTTCTCTCTATTGTCTCACGCTCTCCTACAGATGGTGATGTGATTCTGGACAGTCCTGTCCATCCTGTGACTGAGGGAGATTCTCTGACTCTCCGCTGTTTATTTCGCTCCACAAAGTCCTCAAACCTCACAGCTGATTTCTATAAAGATGGATCACTGCTCCAGACCCAGACTACAGGAGAGATGATCATCCGTACTGTCTCAAAGTCAGATGAAGGTCTCTACCACTGTAAACACCCAGAGAAAGGAGAGTCACCAAAGAGCTGGCTCTCAGTCAGAGGTCTGCTGCTTTCAACAGAAAATATCTAATAATTATAATTTATATTTTAATAAGAATGCTCTCATCAGCCATTTCTATTCTACAGTGATTTTGTTGTGTGTATCAGGTGTGTCCAGTTCAGGAGCTCCAGTCTCAGTGCTCAGTCTGCTCAGTAGTTTAATGGCAGTGTCTCCATATTTGCTGGTGTCCATCGTGCTGGGGATCAAATGTTACAGAGCTCAAGGTAAGAACTCAGTCTTTCTGTGTGTTTATTCAAAGAGTCAGTACTGTTTTTTACTAGTATATAAAATCTGATGAGAGACTGATGTGAAATGTTCATCATTGTGTTTTTTACAGCTGGACCTCATGAGGAGAACAGAACATAAGCAGTGATGGAAGCTGGAGCATCTTGCTGAGTGAATATCAGGATTTTACATTATATATATGATTTTGCTTTAACACCCAATTAGAGATTGCTCAATATGACAGGTCAGAAAAAGAGATTTTAAATAACAGCTCAACATCTATGCTGTTCATCTATGCTGTGTGTCAGTAAGTGCAGTTCTAGTAGTCTTTTAGTCTGTCTGACAGAACAGATCTACTTCTAAAAGGAAAAGGAACCAAAATCCCCCTGAAGCAGCTCACTGAGCAGAGTGGATACATTACATGTGCTGCATTGTATGTGACAGTGTTTATCTGTAGTGTCTCTGTCTAACTAATACATGAATAAATATTCAGTGGACAGCATGGAGAGCAATGCAGTTTGTTGCACTCTGAGTTGAGCTGATATGGATGCCTGGCATTAATCTATGGTATATTGAGCTGAACCAGCTATGAATATTTTTTTATTTTTAACACTTTTCTTTATATTAACAATAACTGTTTTATCTAAAGGCCTTTTGTGATGTCACGTATTATAAACTACAATCACTGTGGCTTAAAATGATTAAGGCTCTGAACAGAAATGAAAAGAAATTTCAACGTAATGAATGAGTACTGGAGTATTCAGATTATTCAGGCCAGAACTATGATACATATTTATCTTATACACTTTATAGCTACATTTCTTTGTCACTTTTTTTAATGAATTGTTTCCTCTTTATTCTTTGTTTCCTTGATATTCTTGCTTAAGAATCTTCACACATTTTTAAAACTGTACTGATATTTTTTAATCAAAAATGTATGTATTCACAAGCATAAACAAAGATATGATTAAAAATTAAATGAATAATATTTGTACTTCATTGCAAAGCTGTTGTTGGCAGTTACATCATTAGCAGTTGTTGGCAATTCTAGCACTCTGGTTATATTTCATCACATTCCTCTTGGCAAACCATCTTCAATTCCTCAAGGTTATGAGGGTCCCTCTGATGGACTCAAAATCCTCTTTAAATTTTTTTAAGTCAGGAGACTGGACAGGTCATGCACACACCTTTCCTTTTTTCTTCACTGGCTGTTTGGGGTTGTTGTGTTGTTAAAACGTTCATCTTCTCTTCAGATTTAGTTTCTTGGCTGATGAGATTATCTCCTCTAATATGTCGCTGTACATCACCCCGTTCATGTTTCCTATGATGAAGTGCCTCTATAATGATGTTCTCACCTCCATACTTCCCTGCGGGTGTGATGTTCTTGGGATCATATGTGCAACCCCTCTTTCTCTAAAAATGAAGAGCTAAATTATTATCAAAGAGCTCTATTATTGTTGTGTCTGACCAGAGTACATTGTTCAAAAGAGTCCTGATTTATCTTGTCCTTGTGTGCAAATTTTAGATGTGCATCTCTGTGCTTCTTTTTTAGCAGAGGAGTTTTGCACAGGGTGTAAGAACAGAGTGACTGCTAGCTTCTCTCTTACCCTGCTTATAATTAGTCTGAGAGGTCATTGTGAAATTTCGTGTGGTGCACCTGTCCGGGGACCATTCTTCCATCATACAAGTCTTCAGCAGCTCAACTGGCTGGTTATCGTATTTTGTGCTTCACAAGCGCCACAAGATTTCAGTAGGACAGGTCTGGATGGCAGGCAGGCCAGTCTAGCACCTGCATGCTCTGATTACCCAGCCATAAACATGGACATTCCTGATAAAAATGTTGCCTAATAGGCAGCAAAAGTTTCTCCAAAGTTCTTCACAGATGTGCAAGTTACCCATGGGCACTAAAACACTCCCATAAAGACAAACCCTGGCTTTTGAACTTTACACTGGTAACAATTTTGATGGTCCTTTACTTTTTTGGCCTGGAGAACACAGCCTCCATTATTTCCATGGACGTGGTCCACCTTAAATGATGCAGTACACTGGCGCTAGAATGTAACTGCAGCGTTATTTAAGTTGGAGCAGAAATTTGAATCATAACCTCACACACAAGGAGCAAATCTCAGCTTCATCCTCTTTTCCACAACGTTCTGTGAACAACATTGTTCTTTGTTTTTATAACGTTTCTAATCATTTATTATGATTACAACTGTATTGTCTTAGTTTAATGTTGTTTCAATGTATTATGGTCGTTCTCTTCATAACAAGCATAAAAAAATCGCTAATAGCATGCTAATGTTTCGGTAGCTAGCCAGCTAACTTTCCCATTCCACCTTAAATAGTCCAGCAGTGTTGACACCTGAAGCAGCAGAATGTAACTGCTGCACCATTTAATGGTGAATATCTGATTTCAGCTTCGTATCATCAAAGAATTAGCGGTGGGCGATGATTAATAATTGTCTTATACCCCTCTTTGAAGGCATATGATGCCCTAAATGTAACTAAAGCCCAGCAGTGAGGAGCTGAACTTTACCCTCCTCTGCTATCACTGCAGACTGGTATGGTCGCCTAAAGAGCAGCGCTAGTATCTGTTAATGAAGCAATGTTGTTTTTTTGTTTTTTTTTTGTTATTTTAAGGGGGTTGTCCCATTTCGTAAGGCAAGATTTTAACCACTACCCTCTGTAACTTAGTACCAAGGGGTTAGGGTGACAATTGAAAACAAGTGGTAGGGGTAAAAAGAAGAAATGGGATTGGGCCTTGGAGTCACTGGCCAAGAGTCGACTCCAACTCCTAGACAGGTCGATTATTTTGGAATCAACTTCTCATCACCAGTACCAGCTAGGTGAGTCATCTCACAGAAAATACGTTCATATAAACATAACTTCATTGCAACACCTGATACACATTGCACATCAGTGATATCAAAAGACGTGACGTAAAATAAATGTGAAAACTCATCAGAGACACATTTTAACATGTAAGGAAAACATAAAAAAGTCAAAGGTACACGGCAATGTAGTGAACGCATTATTAGGACTACACTGGTGGCTGAAGGACTACAGCAGGACTACAGTTTGGCTCAGACAGGAACATGCAGAGCCAGTATGCATTTTAGAAGTATTGTAATTTTACCCCTTTTGTGTACACGTCGCATTTTTCATGACACATCATTGTAACAGTAGAACCTCTTCTCTGCGTTAAAGGCAGTAAGGCGTCCCTGGTGTGACTGGGTCCAGTTTCTATATAGTCTACTATCAACGGTCTCTATGACACTTTGTACCCCAGGTAGGATAACATTAGCTAGATACTTTTAGATTACAACAACATTTAGCTGTCATGATTTGCATTACTGGCTTAAATTAACACTCTGTGGTTGATAGTTTCACGATTCGATATGTTTTAGTAACACATTATATTATCTCTGTTCATTGTTAAACTGGTTAGCTAACCTAATCTAGCTAAGCTATAAGTTCAGTAGACTGATTTACGTTAGCTATCAAAATGCTGATTATCTAGCTAGCTTAGCTGATTTCAAGTTAGCCAACGTTAAACGGCAACCACCCTTTGAACTACTCCAGTCGAAATGTAACAGTTTAGTTGGGTAGTTGGGTTAGTCTGTTGAAAATCCTCATTTTTGCCATATTACTGGCCTCTTAACTGTTCTTAAATCTGTAGTTCAAACAACCTGTCTACCGATCTTACAAGTCAAACCTGTACTTCTTGAGGTTTGATCTGTTGCCATTCAACAGTCTATAACTGGGCTATTAATTAAATGAAAATGAAAACTTGGCCTAGTAATGCTACATAAACCATGTAACCTATTTCTTACCGTTTATCTTTGAAAGTGGTTTAACATTGACATTTTGGTATACAATGACAATGTAGTAATGTCTGTCACCAAGTTTTGTGTGATTTAGTATTTTGAGCAAGAATCTGCCAATTATGATCCTGGCTGATTCATATTGTTCATCTCTAGTAATTGCTGGTAATTACTATTTAATGTTCACTCCAAGTCTTTCAAGGAGCCTCTCGCTGCAACCTGTAGGAAGGTGACTTGGACATCCAACCTGGCCCACATCCATCCCAGCCCTCTCCTTACATCTCTCATAACTTCAATACGTCAACACTCCCATGAAACTGAAGCAGACGTTTACCAAAGAAGTTTATATCCCAGCATTATTACAAAACTATTTGTGATATTGTTGTCAGGGTTTTTGCTAGTTACATGAATGTCCCTCAATAAATACACAAAGATCCCACTGTGGCACACAGTATATGGTTGTTTTGCTGCTAGTCAAACGTTTCTAACTAGCTAGTTAGCTAACTGTCTAGCCAAGTAACTGACTACCTAAATATAACTAGGTAAAAAGAAACGGATGGCTGATAATAGCCTCCATGAATGCAACAAAACTTAAAACTTGATAACTTAAAGAATTAGTGCAACATCAAATATTGTGCATGCTCAAACGACGGCTGACCATGCTTTGTGTGAGTTTCCAACTTCATGGAAGCAAGTTATTAGTTAGCTAATTATGTAGCTAGTTACCTAGATATTGATTGATTGATTGATTGATTGATTGATAGACAGACAATGACTAATTTACTTTAGTTTACTTGGTGTTGCTGTCTTATAGGTTACTTCATCTGCAAATGCAACTATCAGTGCAGATCCATGGTGCACTTTCATTGTGTTTACTGCATTCAAACAATAAGAACATTCAGACCACTTTAAACATCATGTATCCCAGTGCAGCAGTGAAACAAAGACTACCACAACAGAAGTCACCTCAGTCACCTCCTGCAGCTACTCCTGCTCCTCCTCCTGCAGCTACTCCTGCTCTCCCTGCCCCAGTTGACATCCCCCAAGTTCTTCAGATCTTGGCTCCTCTGCACCCCCCCAAACACAACAGAAGAAAGCCATAGTGAGGTGTTGTCACTGTGACGTAGTCCTTAACAGAGAGAACTTTTGGCTGCGCCTCCACAGACAACATGTCCCCATCCAAAATGGACATTACAGGACAGAACCACCTCAACGCTCAGTGTGTTGATTACACAAATAGTGTTTGAAGTTGCAAAATCTTTCACCGCACCCAGCACACCAATACATGTCATTAAAGAGACATGGGGTCCTGATCAT